ATGTTAGCCAATGCGACATAACCGCTAACCTTAAACTTGCTTCCTAGAGGGGAGGTGGACTTGCACACTCAGAGCTTACGCTTCACCATAGTCAAGGTTGGGATGACCTTGAAGATGATTGTAGAATGAAATTTACTTAATACGCTCGCAAATATGCGCCCACGACCGAGCTTATAGTTTTATCTCATACACAAGGCTCAAATATATGTCACTTAGGCAAATTGGGATCCCAACTCTAATCCCACTCTCGCAAGTTTACTCAAGAAATGCGTGCACTGGGTGTGTGCGATAAATTTACCTCCACATGATGCATCCTGGGCAACGTATACTCAAACGGCAAAAGGCCTATTAACCGGCAATTGACTTCTGACTTCAAACTACCATTATCATACTGTATGTCATATTCGATTACTTCCATAGCACTCACCTCATTTTATTTTCTACCTTTGTGCCTGTCTCTTTTACATCTTTGAAACCCTCTTCTGTACCTCCCCCACCCCCTCTCTACTTTTTTTCACTTTGATGTTCCTTCCAATCCGTGAAGCCTGAAGTCAACTAAAGGGCTAATGATAACTATCAAAACGCCTGCCATTTGATATAAATAAATAAATATAACCTTAATCCATTGACGCCTTAAGATCGTACGAACCTCTTTCAAATTAATCTTCATCGGTGCAAAACTCATAACAGAAGGCGCTATTGTCGTTTAAAATGTGTTCACTATATGTCTATAGTCTTCGCCTGATGTCATTAAAACTAATCACATCGGTGGCATCAGTCTGCTGTGAGACACACGAGAGTGCGGTTGGGTACATTTTTCAAAAAAATATTTCGAGCGTTAAAGGGTTAAAAGAAGTTATTACTGAGCAGAGACGCTATCTATGAAACTCTGGAACCTGTGAAATGAAAAAACGGTTTGAATTACTCTTAAGCTTTGAAATTGCTTCTCTTCAACAAAGGAGGTTTTGGTGTTTAATTCAATTAAAATTTTCCAAATTTCATGCAGAAATCCTTCCCGACAGACATTTAGGATCTGTTGTTAATATCAAGCTGTGCTTTCATGTCTCTAATTGACCCTCCTAACTAAGTAGGAGTGCACGTGAGAAGGAAAATATAAAAAACATAACACCGTCATAGTAATTATCCATTGTGATTGTATAAAATAGATAGATTACGAAAAGTGATGCAGTCAACCTCTTGATTCGTTCCACTGATCAATAAATTCTGTGCTCTGAGAATTCAGATTGATGAGTGAATATCAAACGAGGGAACTTTGAACTCCAAAACCTTTGGCAATTATATCTATTCTTGTGGATATTTCGTGCTATATTTACAAAAGAATGGCCAGAAAGCAAGAGTATGAAGGCAAGTTGTAAATAGTTTGCATATTTGAAAATGAAGTTCCTAATGAATTTGTGAGTAGAAACCACATTTCAAGGCGTAAAGATGCAGGATTTACGGTCAATTGAATAAATTGGGTTAATCTGAGATAGTGCCTTTGCCTCATCAAAATGCTTACAAAAATGTGCTAATTATGCTGTTTCATCGCCCTAGGTGGCAGCAATTAGGACATAGGAAAATTGTATGACCACATGAACTGGGTATAGGAACCCAATATAGTGCATACGGAAGTTGGTCGGAAACCACGGTGCTTCACTGGTGCGTTGGTCACCGTATGTGTCCGTCCTGCAGAGATCAAAGGTTAGAGTACTATCCGCGCAGACCCAGTGGTCAACCTCACTGGCTAAGTTTGGCTTATTTTTTGAGCGCAACTAAAGTCGAGTCTCTCACCAGGAGGGATCTAAGTTGGCACTCACCGATCAGGACGAGTGTTGAAATGCACTTTGCCAAACTAGCTATTCAAGTTCTGAGGGAATTTAAACGGAAAGCCGTCAATAAAGCAGCAATAAAAGTGGGTTCAAAGGGAGGCGTACTCGGCTCTCGTTGTTTGCGTTGGAAGAAGTCGGAAAAGCATCGGCTTAAAATTCCTTATTTCGTCATGTCCAAATTCCAATAAAAAAGCTTATAACTGTGTGCCATGGCGAAAATAATTAATTCTGTGATTTTCATTGTATTAGGAAATAGAAAGTTAGGAGAAAAGTCACCAAGGCAATTGCTCTAAAACACAAAGCAGGCCCCTAAAACACGACTTATTATCAAATGCATTAAAGCTAATTTCTGAAATGCCTAACTATGAAGCACTAATCCTCAGGGAAGAATCTCAAATAAATAAGAGTTCCGAAATCTTGGGGACCCAAGAATGCACAAGTCTCAATACAAAAATGGTCTTTTTATAACTCAGCTGCTCTTCATAAAGCCCAAGGTAATCTTAATCACCCGATTCCGTTAGAAACACCAATCAAATTCAGCAATATCCCAACCCTCATTGGATAAATCAAAGAGAAAACAGAGAATTTTCTTTGATGGCTGTTGCTATTATTGAAAAACAGTTTCCAACCAATTTTGCTCCGACAAGATTTGGGGACGGGGAGCATATAAGAGATAAAATTGTGATTTTAATGATGTGAATTGATCGATAATTTTTTGGACAAGTGTAAGGGCAAAGAGAGAGAGAGAGCGAAAGGATTCAAGATTAATAAATAACCATTCCATGCAAGACGAAAAAGACCTCGTATTCTAGAATGGGTACGTTGATATCGATATGTTATTGCGTCAATCTAATCCTTATAGCCTTTCAAGTCCGGCATACCCAAAACGTGAGTTTCAGCGGGGGTTCCCAACTGAATAATACGTAGAGAGTTGGTTGCTCCAGAACCTGCCTTCCAGCCAGTAACCACGACAACATTGTCTCCGTCGTTGAGGAAACGGCGTTTGCGACCGTAATCAATAGCACAGCTGATGCGGCGGTCCATGTCCTCAGCCCAGAGCTCAGTACGAGGTTCTGTAAAAGGGAAAAGGATATAGATTAGACTGACCTCAAACTGAACATTGCCATCCCATCTGTTCAATAGGAGTCATAAACACCACCACGACGGTATTTCACGATAAGCCATCCCAGTGCAAAATTTTGCAATTGGCAAATAAGGCCAACATATGGTGTTTAGGACAATAACTTAAGAAGTTGTTTTCATGAAATGGAACCTTTAAAGAGGTCAAGTAATCAACCTGCACCGAGATATTCAAGGGGAAGTAAGTGGAGATTTATTTCTTTAGTTCAAAATTCATGCTACAGCAATTAGACCTTAAGGTAACCTAATTAAAAGGAAATTTACTAGATTGGACCAGCTCCCAATTAAGCCAGATTTACTACAGCACATGCAAGAGAAGACTAATACTAAAAGAGCAACAATTTCGGTTTACAGACAGAAAACGAAAAAATGTAACTGAGAACTTGACATCTTTGCCTTCACAGTTTTCCCCTATGGCTTAAGCTCACTTGGTCTCGTTAAATTACTAACTCTACCAAAAAATTGGAGTAATTTGTCGACCAAACATACCTCCATAGAAAATAGGGTGACAAGCTCTGAAGAGATGAAGCTGCCTAGCGATGATAGCATGACGAGTAACAGCAATAATGGGGCATCTTGGACGATGGCGTGCAATTAATTGGGCAGTACTGAAAGGAGAACAATATTATAACTTCAATGCTTTTGAGATAGTAAGAAGACAGAATGACAACTTACCGACCACTGGTGGTAATGACAATGACAGCTTGAGCTAGGCAACGATTTGAAGCTTCAACAGCAGCAATAGCCGTGGTAAGAGTAGCGTCAGTTGGCAAAGCCAAGACACTCTTTAAATCATCAAAGAGTTGACCATGGAACATCGCGGACTCGGCTTCACGGCAAATGTTGGCCATAGTCTGAACAGCTTCAACAGGATAAGAACCCTTTGCAGTTTCACCTGAAAATAAGACAAATAGAGGGGGTGAGTAATACATGGGACTATGACTCTGCGCCATCCGTCAAGGAGATTAAAGACGAAAAGTGACCAGACTGGAAACTAGGACGCTTTACGTCTATGCTGAGAAGCTTCGACTCACCAGACAGCATGACACAGTCAGCACCATCCAAGACAGCATTAGCAACATCGCTAGACTCAGCTCTTGTAGCACGAGGTTTGTAGGTCATTGACTCAAGCATTTGGGTAGCGCAGATGACGGGCTTGCCAACAAGATTGCATCTAGCAATAGCCATCTTCTGAGCGAGAAAGACCTTTTCTGGAGGGATTTCAATACCCAAATCACCACGAGCAACCATAATACCATCAGCAGCTTGTACGATTTCATCGAATCTTGAAGGAAAAGAATGAGAATTGAATAAGTCACTGATTCCGAAATAGGTCAGTGTTTGAGAAAATGATGCGCTTACAATTTGACACCCTGGTGGTTCTCAATCTTGGCAACAATTTTGATATGGGCACCCTTTTCTCCAAGAAACTCACGAATTTCTTGAATACCTTGTTTGCTTCGAATGAAGGAGGCAAAGATGATATCAAGCTATGAAAATAAAAATGAATATTTGAGGGGCAGTAATTGCAAACCCATCATTCAAAACTAAATTGCTTAACGCTAACGTGAAACAATTTACCTTGAATAACCATTACAAGCAGTAATTAGGCTTATACCTTCAGAAACTACGGATGAGCCAGTATGGGTTATGATCTAGGACGAGGGAACACACAAACACAACCACTCATCGATTAATGTAATGACAACATTATGAAGGCTTACGTTGTTATCAACAGCAAATTGGAGATCACCCTTATCCTTTTCGGACATTGAGGGCAGGTCAACAGGAGCGCCTGGAAGGTTAACACCCTTACGGGAACCCAATTTGCCACCGTTTTCAATGACGCAATCTAGGTAATCTGGACCTAGAATAAGGACAAATTTGATAATTTAGTAGCAGGGAATTCTAGATTGAAGTTAGAGGGGGAGGGGGAGCTGGCGAGAAATAGAGGCACTTACCCTTCTCCTGGACAGCCAAACAAATAAGGCCATCATCAATGAAGACCTTGGAGCCAACATTGAGAACGTGCACAATACGCTCATAGTCCAAATAGAGAATACTCTTGCTGCACTTGTTTTCATATTCTTTGTTTGGAGTCAACCGAATTTTCTCTCCGCATTCAAGAGTTACTTCACCAGTTCCACTCTATTGGATAAAACAATTAAATTACGCTGCTACTGTCGAACACGGAAACTGAGCAACGGAACATTGCACAAACAAGGGATTTTAGAACAGAGAACTTTTGCATAATTTTACAAAGAAAAATGTCATTTTTACTTACGCCATCAATGAGACCAGTACGGATTTCAGGACCCTTGGTATCTAGAGCAATAGCAACAGGGCGGAAGAAGGGTTTAAAAGTTTCAACTGCCTGACGAATAAGCTTGATGGTCTCAAGATGGTACTCATGAGAACCATGAGAGAAATTTAGTCGGGCTATGTTCATACCGGCCGTCATCATCTTTTGAAGGGTTTCAACACTTCGACATGCGGGACCTAGTAATTTGGAGTAGATTCGTGAATATATAGCCACAAGTAAGTATTAATAAGGCCAAGACTTACCAATAGTGCAAATGATGCTGGTATTACGAATAGCATAGGGTTCGTGATCGATATTAAGATTACAAATGTGTTCAAGAAGAGAGCGAGAAATCTCATGTTTGCCTTGATGACTGGACATTCCACCAAATGATTTATAATCGGCATGCAGACTGATATTTGAATTATTTCCAAGTCCGTGCATTGTGATACTAGAAAGGGTTTACCTTAAAGTTAGCTCCCATTTTTAGGATATTAAAGAGAACTTATATAAAATTTAATAACAAAGAAACATCAAAAATCTCTTTGAGTACAGCAGAGCAGAGAGAACTAGTGAGACAAATAAAAAGTACGCATGCGCAGCGAACAGCCACCCACAAGTTAGAAATGAACCAAGAAGATTGTGTTTTAGTTCGCGCTATTGCCTTAAGATTATCGGTGGTTAATTAAAATAATATATTTTAAAATTAAAAATGTAATATTTTCGATTTGTAAAGACATTTTATTTTGATATCAAATAATATTTTTAACTAAAATATTTCTTAAATTATTAATTTCTACTTTTGTTCTATTTTGTATATCGATCACAGTAAATTCGGTCTAATTTTGAACTTTGGTAAAAAAATATATTTTGAAAGTATTATGATCCAAAATTTTTGCCACACTTAATTCGAATGAACATGCATAAAACATAAATACTATTCAGGCGTGATAGCTTGCCGAGACTCAAGAGTATATGCTTTTAATTTCATTAATTTTAGAGATCATATTAATTTTTACGCATTATATTAATTAAAATATGCAAGGGTCACAATTTTTCACTTAGTGGCTGTTCGCAATTCATGTCATTAATTAGTCAGATTTATTATTTTCGTATTTATTTTCGTACAATAAATACAATATATTTTCTAAATGAATATCTTTCAAATTTAGTACGGTCTTTCAGTTTATTTATTATAATTATCTTTATTACTATTATTTAATTAGTATTAACTTTCCTTACAAATAGTTTTAGTTGCAAATAGAGCCCAGTAAAGCTATAAAAACATCGGCAATGGCCATCAGGGAGTCATATGTAGCTGCATATTTGAATTATAAAAGTCATTAAAAAGATACCCTTCCCAGTAAGACGAATCAAATATTATTCATCCGGTTTAATTGACTATGAAACCGTGTGTTCTTTTCAATCTCTCTATCGAAAATATTTTATTCCTTCCTTTTGTTGATTAAGATAAATGTCCACTGAAGATTTGAAGTATAGTCCATGGAGGGCACAAGATAGTTTACGCTATAAGCACACTTGAATTCACAATTTGTTGAAGCAAAATATTGCTTTGCTGGCCACCTCCATTCACAAATCTTGGTCCTCACGTAAGCAGATTGTCCATAGACGGCGAGGGAATTCTTCCGACGAATAATTGACCAATTTGTACAAAATTTGGCAAAATATAAGGGGCCGAGACATTAATGTGAGTTTTGGTGTGCTGCAAGTTAACTAAGTATTGGGTTGGCAACTAAGTCATTGCCGTTTTTGTTGACGGATTCTCTCTATACTTTCTTTTGTTTTGTTAACGCGGCCAGAGCATCTAACCTATATTTTTTTACTGTATGGGCTTCTAGGTTAATTAGTTAACAATTTTTTGTTTAGTTCTTTAGTTTTGTTTTTATCCCAATTTAAAAATGAAAGAACAGGACGTGCACTTCCGACACATTTTATTGTATTGCTTCCGAAAAGGCAAGAACGCATCGCAAGCACAAAAGAAGTTATGTGCCGTATATGGAGATGAAGCCTTAAAAGAAAGGCAGTGTCGAAATTGGTTTGAAAGATTTCGTTCCGGTAATTTTTCACTGAAAAATTCACAACGATCTGGCCGCCCAGTCGAAGTGGATGAAACCCATATCAAGGCCATTATCGATTCAAATCGTCACAGCACAACACGAGATATTGCAGAGAAGCTCAATGTGTCGCATACATGCATTGAAAAAAATGAAAAACCCTTGGTTATGTCAAGAAACTTGAGTTATGGATCCCTCACCAGTTAAAGGAAATTCATTTGACGCAACGGATTAGCATCTGTGATTCGCCGCTACTGAAACGCAATGAGAATGAGAATGATCCATTTCTGAAGAACCTAGTTACTGGCGACGAAAAGTGGATAGTTTATAACAATGTTACTCGCAAGAGATCATGGGTGAAGCAAGATCAACCAGCCCAAACAGTATCAAAAGCAGAGATTCACCAAAAAAGATTATGCTGTCAGTCTGGTGGGATCACAAAAGAATTTTGTATTTCGAACTCATGCCGCAGAACCAAACGATAAATTCAAATGTGTATGCTGAAGAACTCGAAAAACTGAAAGAAGGATGCAATTGAAGATAAGCGGCCGGCATTATCAAATCGGCGGAAGGGTGTTGTTTTCCATCATGATAACGCAAGGCCCCACAGATCTTTGGTTACTCGACAAAAATTATTGGAACTGGGTTGGGATGTTTTGTCACACCCACCCCATATATAGCCCTGACCTTGCGCCTTCGGATTACCATTTGTTTCGTTCCATGCAAAACTCTTTAAATGATAAAATTTTTAACAACGCGAATGATTCCGGATCACACCTAATTCAGTTTTTTAATAGCAAAGACCAGACATTTTACGAAGGGGGAATTTTTACTCTGCCAGAACGATGGAAAGAGGTCATCGTCAAGAACGGCCAATATCTAATTGAATAAAGTTATATTTTTAAACAAAATTCCGAATTTGCCTTCTTATTTGAAATCGGCAATGACTTAGTTGCCAACCTAATATTTGTTTAGGATAGAGAAAATTGAGCTGGGTGCTATCGACGAAAGGAGAATAACATCAGACACTTTCAAATTTAAGCTATCACCCTATGGTAAGTAGTACCCTTAGAGCGCCCATAGATGATAGGTTGTGATTGAATCATGAGGAAATCTACTTTTGATAACCGAGTAGGAATAGAGATATGGTGGATTTCGACAACATATAGACACTGGTTCCATGCTTGCATGAGATTCACCCCATCTTCCCATGAAAAGTGACCTACACCTCTTCTCCTCCATTCGTAAAGTTGTACACCATCACAAGAACCATTGGATACACTAAAGGGAACAGTAATCAATTTTGTATCTCCAAATATTCTCCATGAATGAGGAAGAGGAGTGTTGAAGACGACGTTGGTGCACTATACAGTATCAACTTAGATTTCACAAAATTTACCACAAATTCTTAAGCTAATATATTGGATGGTGGGAGTGGGGGGGGGGGGGTTCACGATAGACTTACCTCCACGTGGCGCACCCTGGACAACGTATCTTCGTGCGGCAAAAAAGTCTATCACTCGGCATTTGATTTTTAAGGGCTAATGATGAATATCATAAAACATGCCATTCGAAATAATAATAATAACATATTGGATAGAGTAAACATTTATCCACATTAATATACCTTCGCACTGCCTCATTCGAGATAATGCCTTCTTTCTGAAGCCCACTTAGATGATTCACGATAATAGTCTTTGTGGTCATTGTCGTTGCAATTGTGACGTTTTTGAAAGGAGCCGATGGTAGGCTTTTCGGTAGAAATTGGTTCGTATATTCAGTCGGATGATTGTGACATGAAAAGAGGTTCCCTTCCCTAGTTTGATGGAAGCAAATTTTCGGAAACGTTTAGCTTGAACAATTGGGTTATAAAATTTCACGTCAGATTATAGATCTAAGGGAGACCTTTGGACAACAAGTTCCCTCTTACTCGGCTTTAAGACTTGCATAAATTCTGACAGACTACTGGTTTCCTTTCGCGAGTAACTAGACACAATT